TTTGTTTGTTCAATAACAGACCCTTACAACATTATCTGGACGGTTGCTGTGGTAAAGGAAATGGCCCTGTAAAAGCCACATGACTTTCCAACTTTATGTCACATGTCCCTGCATGCTAGTTTATTAGACTTGGGGCCAGCAGGGCTGAGACTGAGGTAGTAGCTGAAGAGAGTTCTTCCTGACAGTAGGACCCCCTTGGGTGTACAGAGCCAGGGAACTGGCAGAGTAAGAGAGCACAGGTACTCACTTCAGATGGACACAAACACACAAACTTTGTGTCTATTTTGGAAAGGGGTGTGAGCTATTACATTGCAAATATTCCGCGGAAGCATGTATCTAGCTCCCCACCTCTCTATATGGCGCTGACAGAATGGGCTTCTTTGTCATCGTTTGCTATTGGTAGATTGGGTGCCAGTACTTGCAGTCAGAGAGAGAGCTGTGCACATCTGGAATGATCCAGAAAGAAGTCCTAAACCAGGCTTGACAATGATGCCAGGGCACTGAAGGATGCCCTGTCCTCTGTCACCAGAAAAGTGTCTCCTCTGTAGATTTCTATACCTGCCCCTGCGTTGCCACTAAGTGTGACAGGAAGAACAAAGACTGAGGAGGCATTTGGATCCAAATTATACCACATGCTTTCCTCACCTGTAAAATAGTGAGACTAATGTTTAGTTGGCAGGATTATGGTAAGCATTATAGCTCATTTATTAAGTATTGTATATAACAAACACTTAAGAAGTGGTAGCTATTATTATTATTACTACGGAGGCTCGCTCTGTCGCCTCCGTGTGGTGGCGCGATCTCAGCTCACTGCAAGCTCCGCCTCCTGGGTTTACGCCATTCTCCTGCCCCAGCCTCCCGAGTAGCTGGGACTACAGGCGCCTGCCACCACGCCCGGCAAATTTTTTTCCTTTCCTTTCCTTTCCTTTCCTTTCCTTTCCTTTCCTCCCCTCCCCTCCCCCCCCCTCCCCTCCCCTCCCCTCCCCTCCCCTCCTCCCCTCCCCTCCCCTCCCCTCCCCTCCCCTCCCCTCCCCTCCTCCCCCCTCCCCTCCCCCTCCCCCCTCCCCCTCCCCTCCCCTCCTCCCCTCCCCTCCTCTCCTCTCTCTCCTCCTCCCTCCCTCCTCCTTTCTTTCCTTTCCTTTCCTTTCCTTTTTCCTTTCCTTTCCTTTTTGTGTGTGTGTGCTTTTAGTAGAGACGAGGTTTCACTGCATTAGCTCTCCTCTCCTCTCCTCTCCTCTCCTCTCCTCTCCTCTCCTCTCCTCTCCTCTCCTCTCCTCTCCTCTCCTCTCCCCTCCCTCCCCTCCCCTCCCCTCCCCTCCTCCCTCCTCCCCTCTCACCTCTCCTCCCCTCCTCCCTCCTCTCCCTCCTCCCCTCCTCCCCTCCTTCCTTTCCTTTTTCCTTTCCTTTCCTTTTTCCTTTCCTTTCCTTTTTGTGTGTGTGTGCTTTTAGTAGAGACGAGGTTTCACTGCATTAGCTCTCCTCTCCTCTCCCCTCCTCTCCTCTCCTCTCCTCTCCTCTCCTCTCCTCCCCTCCTCCCCTCCCCTCCCCTCCCCTCCCCTCCCCTCCCCTCCCCCTCTCCTCCTCCCCTCCTCCCCTCCTTCCTTTTCCTTTTTCCTTTCCTTTCCTTTTTTCACTTTCCTTTCCTTTTTTGTGTGTGTGCTTTTTCCTTTTTCCTTTCCTTTCCTTTTTCCTTTCCTTTCCTTTTTGTGTGTGTGTGCTTTTAGTAGAGACGAGGTTTCACTGCATTAGCTGGGATGGTCTCGAACTCCTGACCTTGTGATCCACCCGCCTCGGCCTCCCAAAGTGCTGGGATTTCAGGCGTGAGCCACCGTGCCCGGCCGTGTTATTATTATTGTAGACATGAAGCTATTGCCTTTACTTTAAATGCTCTTGCCCAGATATTTGCCTGATTCACTCCCTATTCTTCTTCCATTATTCACTCAATGGTCCTCTTTTTGGTGAGGTCGACTGTAACTGATCAACATGATACTGTCTCAACATACCCACTTTTTCTTTCCTGTTCTCTTTTATGTTTTTATGTAACACTGATTTGATTGTAATTATTACATATTTTTCTTAGTTGTGTTAATTTAAAAACATTTTCTGTAGCGTTTTACAAGAATATAAGTCCTGTGACATCAGGTATTCCTGTATGTTTTGTCTACATAATACCCCATTGACAAAAGCAGTGCCAGATATAGCATAGGTATGAATAAATATTTGTCAAACAAATCTTTTAAAAATTAGATAAGTGTGAAATTAGTTAAAAAATAATAACATTCTACTGACTATTGTTTGTATACACATATGTATACATCTATGTACTTATGTTTACGTGTGTCTATACATACATATTTGTACATTAATCTTACCCATAATAACCTCAGAAGATAAGACACAGTTAGAAAGCACCTGGCTTAAGAGAGATGACACAATTTGCCTGGTTTGCCTTTACATCTGTGTTCTCAAAATAATTATTGTCAACACTAACTTTCACTCTAAAAAATGACCCAAGTCATAAGTTATATGATCACCCTAAATGAGGATCAAAAGGAAAACGCTAGTCTCACAGATATACAAGAACAGTTCCTGTCTCAGTGCTGATGAATGAAGTATCCACTAGACAACCACTGGCACTGGCTTAAGAAATTTGTACTGGGAACACCAACATAATTTTTTATCTGTGTAAAATAAATCTTCTTTTTTTTTTCTTTTTTTTTTTTTGAGACAGAGTCTCGCTCTGTCGCCCAGGCTGGAGTGCAGTGGCCGGATCTCAGCTCACTGCAAGCTCCGCCTCCCAGGTTTATGCCATTCTCCTGCCTCAGCCTCCCGAGTAGCTGGGACTACAGGCGCCCGCCACCTCGCCCGGCTAGTTTTTTGTACTTTTTAGTAGAGACGGGGTTTCACCGTGTTAGCTAGGATGGTCTCGATCTCCTGACCTCGTGATCCTCCCGTCTCGGCCTCCCAAAGTGATGGAATTACAGGCTGTAAAATAAACCTTAAATAGTAGTTATAAAAAACAGGAAGAGCAAACTCAGTGTCCATAAGTCTTGTCCCTAACAGATGATTTTTCATTTGGTAAAGAACGTTGTGTGTTTCTTCTGATATTTTTCTACACTTTGGATGATGGTTTTAGTATTGACCAGGACCCTTTAAGGGACTGCTGTCCTGAAGGTTATTTTGCCACTCAGTTTTTGTCTTTCTTTCTTTTTTCTTTTTTTTTCTTTAACTCTTGGCAATTTCTCTGATTCTAGTAGCTTTAATATTTAGCATTTGGTCTTCTGGACGAGCCTATAAGGGTTTGCTTAACAGTTACCAGGCAGATGGCACAAATTTACCTCTTTTATAGTCCCAGTAAGTTGGAGAGGGAGAGAAAGAAAACCAACAAAAAGGGCCGTGGGTTCTGGGTGACAGACATAAGCTACTCTGTTTAAATGACTCTGCAATTTTTGGAAGGAGGATCTTTGCTTTCTTTCTTATATAACTTTCTATACTTATTTTGTGTGGTTTGATTTTAAAATGCCCTTCCTGTCTTTCTGACTCCTCATTTCCACTTGGAAAATTTCCTTCTAATCAGGAAAATATTACTTTAGCAAATTACACTTTTAACAATGTCTTATCATGAAAAGCTCAAAAATGGATTAAAATCTAATCTTCTTCCCCTTTAACCTAGCCTGGGTATTTTATATCTCACTCTCAGGGTAGATATAAGTAAATCTTTTTCAAGCTTTTGACTACATCTAAATAAATAGGCCTTTAAATAGAACTCTTTAAAAATGTCCATTTTCATCCCAAGTTCGACATCAAAGTCAAAACTCTTTACTGTTTCTTCTAAAGACTCAAACTGTCTAACTTCCTAAATATTCCTCTGCTAGTCTTAGCCTGGGAACCTTAGTGTCCAGTGACCTATTTAGGTTGCAACAAAGAGGGCAGCCAGCAGGGAGTGTGAGGAGCCTCATGTTGTTCTCAACCCCATATGCAACTAAATTGCTGACTTCCCCACCTTCTAGTACTTCAAGCACACATCACACCGATCCCCCACTGTCAGTCAAATGAGGGAGGAAAAGTTCACTGCAGAGAGAAGCAAATTTCAGGAACCAACTAAAGTCTCTGAATTATGCCAGTGATGTTTCCCAAATATATTTTTTGTTTTCCAAACCTGTTACCTTTATTTCAGCAAACCCAGTTGGTCCCCAGATTTCTCATCCATATATATGTCCTGAAGTCTAGACTTCCAATATGGAGCTTATATCTAACACAATACCATTCTTGTGAACCTGCTTGGCAGTAGGGGATTTTTGATCACCTGTGCCATAGGTAGAATTGATTGCAGGCTTTTTGAAATTCACAGGTAAAATCTAAAGGCTAAAATTAATGTGTAGTGTGACTCTTTCATCAAGAAACATTTTACCTGAGTTTCCAATAATTAGCAAATCTGATTTAAATATTTCTGCCCCATCAACCATTTATAAGAAGAGATTCATACTGACCAGTTCTAACTCTGGAGTTTTGTGGCCCTGGAAATGAAAAAAATAGTGGAATCACCAAAAGAAAATACCATGGTTTAGATAATGCATAAACTGAATTTCTGTAAACTGTGGATTGCCATAAAGGAATAAAAAATGTTTTTTCAGTACCATGATATAGGAGATTTTTAATATAAATTCCTGTAAACAAAGGGGGAATAAGGGTTATTTCCATTACTCCTTCAGGATTTCTTTACAATATTTGAAAGTCCTTTATTTTCACCTCTCTGGAATTTGTTTTATATCTCATAAAACCATTATTGAATAGAGAGAATAAAACTGAATAAACCATTTGCAGGTGGAATCCACTAGAGCTAGCCACAAGTACAAAGCTTGCACAGGTGGGCTTGGCTTCTGCCAGTGTCATTGCTCATTCCCTTCCTCTGAGAACCCCCAAAAGCATTTGAGAATTAAACCTAGAAGCCTAGTCTTTATTATTGTGACCTTGGTAGTGATGTATTTTTATTGTTACAGGCAATGAAAGCTTAGAAGAAAACTATGTCCAGGACAGTAAGATGGGGTTTGTCATCAATGCCATCTATGCCATGGCACATGGGCTGCAGAACATGCACCATGCCCTCTGCCCTGGCCATGTGGGCCTCTGTGATGCCATGAAGCCCATTGACGGCAGCAAGCTCCTGGACTTCCTCATCAAGTCCTCATTCATCGGCGTATCTGGAGAGGAGGTGTGGTTTGATGAGAAAGGAGATGCTCCTGGAAGGTAATCTTTTCAGTAATGAATCTAAATAACCTTGTGAGCCTTCCTGTGCCAGACAGATGGCAACTATGGCTTCATCTGGTTCCATGGTTTCTGGGTGTCATGAGGATAGATACAACTAGGTAGCAAAAAGTCCAGGAATAATATCAGATGAAATTACCAAAGACCACACTACTTTTTAAAATATTAAAATACTTCTTTTTCAACACCCGATACCCAGTATTCTACCGGTGCCACCCCCTTACTCAGCTATCACTTAACCCTTTTTCCAGAATGCTTGGGACCTCCCTGCAAGCCCAGGAAACTAAAGAAAGTACACTTGGCCAACAGAAACCTCTCAGACATTGCCAGTACCGGGCCAGCGTCTTTCTGTTTGATTAACTATATACCATTCTGGTTATGAAATATTTTGACTATTACACCTGGTTAAAGAGCTCAATATGCAAAGAGAACTAGGTCCTGCATATGTTTCCCTTCTCCTCAGGCTAACTTATGTTTCTGCTAACATATCTCGTGGAGCAAGAAAGGAAATAACTTTCTTTTTGGAATCGAGTCCCTATGACTTTTAAAGAATTAATCAAACAAAAAGCAGATAAAAAGTAAACCAAGGTATATGCATAAAATCCTCTCCAAGCCATTTTACATACAGTCTGCTCTGCAATACTTGTTTTGATACTACCAGTTGCTCAAGCATAATTGGTACATAGGAAATTTTGTTAGTATCAAGAATAGTTGTGTTCATTCATACGCAATTTCCTAGGAAAGGCATAATCAGAATGGCAGAAGAATTAACACCTTCAGGAGGAAGGAAAAAGGCCCTCAGCTTGGCTGCCACTCAGCAAGCCCAGGGCCTTATAGGCCCTGTCACCTTTCAGTGTATGATGTCCCAGACTTAGAGCTTTTTAGAAAAGCATATGCTGTGTTCAAGTGGAACATCAAATCATGTAATCTTCATTGCTGTAGGTGGATCATTGTTTTTCTTTTACAGATAATAAAACTGGGTATCAGAGAAACTAAGGAACTCACCTAATGTCCACAGATTGCAAGCTGTGAAGGCAAGTGCTCTCACTCTGAGGCTTCTAATCAGGCAACATCACACTGCCTTTTAGCAGATCCTAAAATTAGCAACATGGCTGGCAATCTTCTTTTTGTGTTTTGAGAAAGAGTCTCACTCTGTTGCCCAGGCTGGAGTGCAGTGGCGCAGTCTCGGCTCACTGCAATTTCTGACACCCGGGGTTCAAGTGATTCCCCTACCTCAGCCTCCCAAGTAGCTATGACTACAGGTGTGTGCTACCATGCATGGTTAATTTTTTTATATTTTTAGTAGAGATGGGGTTTCACCATGTTGGCCAGGCCAATCTTGAACTTCTGACCTCAAGTGATCCATCTACCTTGGCCTCCCAAAGTGCTGGGATTACATGTGTAAGCCACTATGCCCGACCTTGGCAACCTTCTTAATGTCATTTCAGAAGTACTGTAAGGGACTGTTTGACCCTAAATAAGCCTCCATGTATCTCTTTATTGTCAGCTTGAAGTCCTGCACTTACGGAGTACCTTGTGAGACCTAACTGGATTCTCCCTGTTAAAATCTGACAGCTCTAGGAAGGATAAATGATATCAGTCATTGTCAGCAATTAAAATGATCAATTTATCAGATTTCTTCCAAGCTGCTAGTTAGGTGGGAACAGATTTTGACTGGAATGCAAGTGGGGTAGATGGAATGATTCAGGAATTGGGCATGTGAAAAGCTTCGAGGAAGTGGTACCAGGAGCAACAAGTGGGTCTGAGATTCAGAACATTGATGACCTGCCTCTGTAAACCCTCTTTCATCCTGTGTTCCACTGGACACTAGGCTCAATAAGGGGTCAGAATTAGAATGTAAGCCTTCCTTCAATGATTCCCAAAGATAGCATACAATGTGCCTAGCACAAGGCCAGATGCATTTTTGATACTTCATAAATTCAAGTTTACTCCTCTCTCTTTACAAGTTATCTAAAATGTAGGTGCATAATTTTAGCTTGTTTCTTCTCCATCTTTAATTAAATATTCAGATCTTACTTAAGCTTTCCCCTGGGTCTTTTCTTAGGGATCATATCCTTTTGCTTGCAATTGGTTAGCATAATCCGTTTTCAATTTCTGTTTCGAAAATCTCCCTGTACGTCCTCCTCCTGTCATACCAGTGTTCATGCTTTTGGTCCCGCTTATAATTACTTCAGTTAATCATCACACAACATAAACTGAATGCATTGAGAGGATGTTGTGAATATGTAATTTATAGCATAAAAAATTCCAAAATAAAGACCAACATGCCTGGAAGGAACCCTGGGGTCAAAAGAAAAGGCGGTGTTCAGTAATACACGCAGTATGAGGAAGGCTTTTTAAAACGAAGTCAGTAATTTTTCCTTGATATTTTTCAATAGATTTTTTCCCAGCTTTTGGGACTTTTTAAAAAAAATGTGTTTTATACCAAAATATTGTGAATTTTTTTTTGTTTCTAAATGCTAATGAAGTGTGAACTGATTTCTGTTATGAAAAAGCAAATGAGGAAGCTAAAATAAAGTCTTTGGAAACCAATTTAAAGGAAAAAGACATTCTAGAGCCAGCATTGTAGTGAAGCCTTCTTTGTGAGTATGTGAGAAGCTGTAATAATGTAATCTGAAATAAAACACAAAAATTCCTGGAAATGAAAATGGAAATTACTCACTTCAAGCACTCACAACAGTACAACAGGTTCCATAGCTCTAATGAATTTAAAATGGAAAGATATCAGAGGTGTAGATTAGTGTCATTGATCAACAGGATGAGTGTGAGCCAGCAGCCCACAGTTAATTCTCACTTGGCTATCACTCAGAAAGATACTCTGAAGAACTTTCTGGTACATCTAGCAACTGAGGGATAATAACTCTCTATTAGTCAAAAGTCCGCACAGCAAAGAGATGAATAATGTGCTCTGGGTGTACCATTCTCTCTTCTCATTCTAAGTACATTTTGTTTACCTGGCAAAGGAGAGCTTTCTTTACTTTCCCAGAGTACCTTTTTCTTTTAGGGGACAACTATTTGTAGAAATTGCGAGAATCTGGAGGTGGAGAAGCCATTAGCTACCCTGTGGGTGACAGAATGCATTTGCACATTAAGAACAGGCAGAAGAGACAATCAACTGACATTCCTTGTCTAGATAATAATAATAATAATAATAATAATAATAATAATAATAAAAGTCTAGGCTAGATACAGCCAATAGGTTTCAGATGCCAACTTAGTTTGATTGGCTGTAGCCTCCTGGAGTGGTAGGCTGAGAGGGATTGTGAGCATGAGTCAGTTTAGAGAGAAATAATTGCAGGAGGGATTAGGCAGGGATGTGTGAGATGGGAGAGGGATGAAGAGAGCTGATGAAGAAGAGTATGTGTTGATTAATTGCCATTTCCTTCAGTCAAGCACAAAGAGCAAGAGTTCGTGACTCATCTTCTACTCCAAGAGGATGAGCACTTTGCATAGGTACTGCAGAAAAGAAACCCACTTTGCAAAACTAGTAAGGAGCAACTAAGCATGCAGCTTTGGGAAACTGCAGCATTAATTATAGAGTGAACAGCAACATGGAAAGGAGATGTAAGAATGCTGGAGTTCCCATGACTGAGACATAAATGGTTATGCCAGTACAAAGTTGTTCTCTAGTATTCATATAGTAATGAAAATAACCAGGGTATTTTAGGACATTAATAGTAATAGAAATAGGAATGAAATCATGCTATTGCCTTATAGATTGTCTTTCTTCATTTGGGATGCTATAGCAAAATATCATAAACTGCATGGTTCACAAATAACAGAAATTTATTGCTCACAGTCCTGGAGGCTGGAAAGTCCAAGAACAAGGCACCAACAGATTTGGTGTCTAGTGAGGGCCTGCTTTCTGGTTCACAGATGGCACCTTCTAATTGTTTCCTTGTGTGGTGGAAGGGGCAAGAAAGCTTTTTAAGGCTGCTTTTACTAATCTCATTCATGAGGACTTTGTCCTCATGGCCTAATCACCTCCTGAAGGCCCCTCCTCCTAATACCATCACCTTGGGGGTTAGGATTTTCAGCATATGAATGGAAGGGGGTGAACATAAGCATTTCGACCATAGGACATACGCATTTGTCCAGATTATAAAGTAGTTTTTTACATGCCTATCTTAATAAATCTCCACAAGAATCACATGAGGCTTAAAGAGTTTAGTGGCATTCCTAAGTAGTATAATCTACTGTTAAAATGTTAGAAAAGAGACCAGCTTGTACATTCCGATGTTAGATCTTGTGTTCTTTAGATTGTATCGGAGAATGTCCTATATCATATATATACATGGTGTGTGCTGTATAACATGATGTTTTGATATACTGTATGTATATAGTGAAATGATTACTATAGTGAAGAGTTCTAAGTGTCGGTTTTGCCATTGTGTAGTGTTCCGGAATTTCAAATAACTGCAATAACTGATATCAGTTATTTGTTTTCAAAAATATTTATCCTAATCAGGGAAGAGATTAGTTTAAATGTCAGTGCACAAGACATTAAATCCTCAACATCCTTATTAATTAAAGATGACTTTCTCAGATTTCTTGCTCTCTTAGCACCTTAAAAAAGGTTCCAGACTTGATAAAACTCACCCCTTTTAATATAGTGTAATGAAAATGACAACTGAATGTGAAAAAGAAATTTGGGTTAAAGTAATCAAATAAAAAATTAATGTTCTTATTGATACTTACTCAAAGAATAACTTAGTAAACAATAATTTGAAGGACATGATCAACTTAGCAAACATAACATTATTTTTTGGAGGATAAGCAGAGAGAAAAGTACAAGAGTAATTTATATTTTAGTGAATATGGATGATACATAGAGATTGAAGAATAGAATATACATATTTGGGATAATCAGAGGAAACATAAGAAATAAACTAAAATATTGGCAGTAGCTGATGTAAGATGATTCTAGCTGTTTTCTTATTTCCATTATTATCTACTTCCCAACTTTCTTTGTTTTCTACATTATGTCTATATTCTATAAGACATGCACGTTGTGCTCTTTGTAGGTATGATATCATGAATCTGCAGTACACTGAAGCTAATCGCTATGACTATGTTCACGTTGGAACCTGGCATGAAGGAGTGCTGAACATTGATGATTACAAAATCCAGATGAACAAGAGTGGAATGGTGCGGTCTGTGTGCAGTGAGCCTTGCTTAAAAGGCCAGATTAAGGTAAGCCACAAATGCATTCTTGCGTGCTATCTGTGAGGTGGTCGGCTGCCTGGACGTTAGTAAAGAACAACACAGACAATTTTAAAAACATGACTGTCAAGAAAGGGTGTGCCACACTTAGAGTTTTGGCTCTTGAGTTTCGGTAAAACTGAAAAGACAAAAGATTAGGAAACAGAGTGGGTAAACTCTTATAATATTTGCATAGTTTTTACTTGAATCACAATGATGGGCTGGAATCTTCAATACAATCTAGTCAGGAAACGGATGAGTAATCAAATTTTAAAAATCAAAAACAGAAGTAAATGTGAAAACCAAAGCCAATAATAGTGCTTAGTCATAGCTCTAGCTATTGTTAAAGAAAGCAGAAGCTGAACAATGCTAAATAAGCAAATAATTAAAATACCAGAAGTTGAAATAAGGTAACACAGACTGGTTATCATTTTCCGTTTCTCTACCAAGTCCTTTGTTTCTTCTGAGACTGGCATTTTTTTTTTTTTTCAATACAAGAGAGTGTCCCCACTTTCTCACTATTTTCAGGAGCTATTTGGAGGGTGGAGTGGGGCAAGTGAATAACTATGACATCACTATATATAGAAAATGACAATAATCAAGCATCAAATCCTCAGTTGGGTGTGCTAAAGAGGCTTCTTGATGGAGAAAGCATGGAGGCAACACTCTCCGTATCCCAGGCTATTTAAAACCAAACTGGGTGATGCACTAGGAAATGGAGCATAGGGGAGGGATTGTGAATGGCAGGATATGGATTAGATGACCTAATAGGTCTTTCGCATCCCTAATTTTCTGTGATTCATCTTGAGACACAGACAGGCTGTCACATAAATGTCTCACAGTGTAGCTGGAGCTGGGGTAAATCAGGCATGAGGCTCTGGCTCCCGCCATGCTGACTTGCCGCCATGCCATTCGTTGCTTGGGAGCTGCAAAACCACGCATGCAGGAGAGATTCTCTGATAAGTTCACGGAAGGGTCCCCAGGGCAAGAATCTCGTCATATAATGCTGTTTAGACAGAGGCTGGACATGCTTTATCTCAACTGACTAAAGAAAATGCAGGATCTGCAACCTGTAACATCTTTTGGTAGCTGAGAAGAGCTATCCTGGTGGACTCAAATTCTCAGTCACTCTAGTCACTTGGACAAAGAAACAAACTTCTGAGATGAATCATCCTAGTTTTAAGTATCTTGTGCCTTCTCTGCAGAAGTTATATTAAATTATTTAATAGTTGTTATGACAACCAGTCAATCAGTATAGACTCCATTCTCATGCTGTGACATGGTATTGGAGGCCTCATGCCATGGCTATGGTAAATCTTTGAATTGGTGGATTACGGGAAGATTTGGCCAATGTGTCCTACATGGCTGGGGTCATGTGGGGGATTCAGGAGATATGGAGACACTGCTAGCTTCCAAGCAGTGCAGAAGTATTTCAGTAGTCTAAGAATGTGTAAAAGTAGTATGTATGGGCTGATTCCTGTCTAGGTGGAATATTTCCACATGAGGCTGCTGATGATATAAGGTATGTTCTCTGAAATCCAGAGGCCACAAATTTCTCCTTGCCAGTTATCATGAGATGCCAGACCAAGGCATTCTGGTTGCATCATCTTTTCTAGATAGTGGGAAAAAACAGGATATCTGTGGACTGAAGTCATAGGTGGGGAGAGGACAGAAGCCCTGAGCACATGCACTTCTGCCACCCAAAGGATGCCACATGTTGGCTCAGGCTGTCTCTCCAGTTTGGGTATAGCACTGAGGTTATTTCAAGCTCCCTTGAAAGGAAGGAATTGTGAAAATTCCTTACTGTTACTCTGACTGCCAGGTGGCCGTGAATGGGTGCTCACATACCACGTGTGCTCCCCTTTACACCTTCCAGAGGAGAGGCCTTTGTTTTCCCTAATTCAGGGGCAAGCCTGTCCGCATATGTCCCTGCACCTAGACCCTGAAGTATTTCTACCATCATGTTTACACTATGCCCATGCGTGTTATCGAAGGAAATCCCAGAAGTTGTTGCTGAGCCATTACAGAGCATTCACTATAAATGCAAAGCACCTGGGGGCCAATATTAGAAAATTGTATATATTGCAGAAAGAAAATGTGCGTGTTCTCAATACCAACATGGAGTGGAGGTAATGGGGGATGTCTGTTTTGTTTCTCACAAGCACCTTGGGAGGTATGGAAACAAATAAAATTTGAGTCCCATTTACCAAATAATATTATGCACATTCTAACATCACTAATTTGCCACCTACCAGACCCAGGATGCATACAGCCAGATCAGTAGCCACTGTCAAGATATAAGAGAAACAGGCAGCTTACAAGGTGATTGTAGGACGTCCATTTGTATTAACTGGGAAATACAGCCTTTAGGAAAGGGTTATTTGTTTTAAATATCAAATGCCATTTAAACGGCTAAAATAATAATTTGATGTCTTTTCTGATAACCCATAGAACTTTCTTATGATCATTTCCTTTGAATTTGTCAAAAATCCAGTTTTCTTGTGTTATTGATTTTTAGAATTAAAAATGTATCTTATAAATACAATATCTTGTGGAGGAAGAAATAATTTCAGTCATACCACAAACACAGGTAAATAAAATAATACTTTTTATTGTTGTGTGTAACCTTAGTGTCCTGTCAGGAAATAAAGAGCCCACGCCAGATGGTTTACTAGGGGAAATTTAACAGAAGAAAATGGTTACCAAAGTAAAAAGGGGTACTGAGGCAACTCAAAGGTGACCAACAGCAGTGTCTACTCCCACTCCAGAGCTAGAAGGACCCAGGGAAACCTCGTAGCTAGTACCTCTGGGCTGTCTCTGAAGTGGGAGAGTGAGGGCACCCTGGCTCTTCTCTTCTCCTTCTCTTTTGCCTCCCATTAGTTCCTCTTACTTTACCAAATCCATCCAGAAGACAACTGGCAAGAGATCCTGGAAAATGTAGTTCACAAGTATCTTAGCTCAGGTTCCCTTCAACCCTACTAACTATGCAAGGCTTAATTGCTAATACATTAATGGAAGATTCAATCCTAGGGAAACAAGAATGAGGGAGAAAGGGAAGTGAGATATGGAAGGATGGGGGAAAGCAAAACAAAACAAGGTGACCCATTATTGAGGAGGAGATTGCTTCCCTGCACATAACTAATCACGTTGCCTCAAGAGGTCACTGGATAGGCTATTCAGACTATTGGAGGAAGGATGGGAGAAGAATGAATGTGTTCACTTCATCCTCTTTTCTGCTTCGTGTGGCCAAAGGTTATGCTCACAGGAAGTTGCATCACCAGATCCCTTCAGGCAGCTGCTGAGGAAGCCAGAGCCCAGGCCCTGTAACACAGCGCTTCTTCAGATTCTGGAAGCAATATGAGGAGTGAGAGCCTAGGTGGGTCTCCTATGGTCTGGCCTGGGTCCTGCTACGGTGAGTCCAGCAGGGACAGTTCTGGAACCCAGAGCCTACTCAAAGGGAGGGAGAGACAACTAGAGATGACAGAGATGAAGGAGCAGTGTCGAGACTGCAGTAGCAGACATAACAGCAATGTCTAGAACTCTCCGAGTGTTGATAGCCAAGGGCCCAAGACACAAGTGCAGCCAAAGAGAGTATGGGGCGACAGATAAAATCTGAACAGTGTTGTGCAGGCAAACATCAGGGACCTGGTGTGTGTGTTGATCTCACATACAGAATCCACTGCTGTTTTCCTTGCTGTAGTGAAAGACAGGAAAGGGGCAGAAAGGGGAGGAAAGGTAAAGGAAAAGAAAGTGCTGGAAAGGAGAAGGGAGGTAATCAAGATCAGGGACTAACATTGGTCAAGTATGTTCTTAAGCAAGTACAATAGATGCTTTACAGACATCATTTCAATTACTCCTTAAAACGACCCTTTGAAAGCAGGTATTATCATCCCCCCTTTTTATAGACGAGGGATTCTGAGACCCAGAGGGATTGAGTCACTTGCCCCTAAGCTCTCAGCTAGAAATTGCCAAAGCTGGGCTTGGAGCCAACTCAAAGCTGTTATCATCCCACGGACACATGTTGTTCAACTATCTTTCATTATATGAACTGGCACATTTCCTACAAACACATATTTCAATTTCTAAGCCTTATTCTTTTCAATAGCTCACAATAAAATCATAAGTAAAGAGCCACTTTTAAAATTCTGAGGGAACAGAATCCAGAATTCAGGAAGCAATATTTGTGAAGGAGGCTGGCAGAGTTAATAGAGACTGAGACATTGACAGGGAAGTGAGGGCAAGGATACTGAAGATTGATTTCACTGGCCTCCTGTTCTTTCTCCCCCTCTCTCCTCTCCCTGCTCTCTTCTGCTTTCTTTTTCTCTTAAGTTTATATTTGAATTCTTTTCTCCAAGATGTTAGTTTTGGGTTGGGAGGTTGAGGTAAGAGAATAGAGATAATCTTACCTCTTCCTATCATCACCCAGCGAATCATGACAGAATTCTGGAGATATTAGGTCAATGTGGCATACATCATAAGTGTTTCTCCTCATTTACACATGCCCTGCTGTTGTAAAGTGGCACCTTATTTATATATAACAAAGTCCACTCACATATATCTTACACATTATAGACTTCAGAATTAACTGTTTTCATTTACGAGATAAGACATTTCATCTGATTTCTTGGAATTATCTACCAGAGAAGTAAAATGTTCATTTGAAAAGACATTAGAAATGTAGCCCTAACAAAAGAAGCCTGCTTAATTTAAACCTCTAGCATGCTCCTTGCTCAATTTTAGCTTCTTATATGACTGATTTTTCCCACGGATGAGCAAAGAGGCCAAAGAGCAGATTCGCTGAGAATCAAAGCAAAGGGAACATGATCATTCTCATTACGACCTAACATACCCTTAAAAATGGATGGAAGTAAGAGAGGTCCACTAAGAAACCATTTATATTTGGCTGGAATTGGAACGTTAAATATGCCTAGGTTTGTGCCGTGAGCATTATTAAATAATGCTGCTACAGGAGTTCGTGTCTGGCTTTTCCT